CGAATCCCTACCAATCCTTGAAGGATCGGACCGGACCGGTCAGGATTCGATCCCAAAGGACCGATTAACATCCCTACTGTCGAGGACGGGATATTGCGGTAGAACCCTTTCTCAAAGTTCGAAACGTTTCGCCTTTTGAGTTTCAAAATCCGAAACCGTGCGAAACTTCCAAAACTGGGCGAAACCCAAACTTTTCAAGCTAATATTTGACAATACTAAGGGAAAACCACACTGGGCTTCAAATGCTATCGAAATTAAAGATTTGATACTGTATGAAAAATGATTATATATTTAACTTAATAAGATTATACTAGTGTTTGGCATAAGCCCTTCAAAGTCTGAACATTTGCCTTTTGAGTTTTGGCTTTGTCCAAATTCAAAACTTTTGAAAGTAAACAAGCCTTCCAAATTGATGCAACTTCGGAAATTGGGTGGAACCTTTCAAACTGGATCCTCGTAACTGAGTAAAACATTCAAAGCTGGGTAAACCCCAAAACTTATCCAAATGTCTAAAACTTTTCAGGTAATGGACTAGAAAAACCCTATTTTTAAATAGCGATTTTTCTAGATCATAACTTATATACGTATTTAAGTGCTATTAAAGAAAATCCTGGATTTCAATTAATGTGTTGTTTTTTAGTTTGAGATTTTGTTCAATTTCAGAAATTTTGTCATAATTTCAAATATTTTTTCTAGTTTCACAGTTTTAAAAGTTTTGTCTAGATTTAAAGTTGTCTAATTTTGAAGATTTTATTTTAGTTTATCCAATAGAAAATTTTGGCTTAGAACATAATACTAGTTTTTCAAAGTGGTAAATACAATATATACACATGACCCTCGTTAATATCAACCTATATATATCGATATACGTTAATATCAACCAGACAAATTTTTATAACGATAAATTTTTATATACAGTATCAAAACTCCCTCATATATATCAACTTTACTATGATCCCTCACTAATATTACTATCAACATGAATATAAGAGTGATCCAAATGGGTTGATATTAGCGAGGGTCAAGTGTATTATATATATATATATATACATAAATATACGTATAAAAATTAATTTAGTATTCACCGAAGACCATTATTATTGTTATTATATGAATTATATGATCTATAGACAAATTTTAAAGCTAAAATTAAATTTAGGATTAAGGTTTAAGGTTTAAATTAAAGTAGAAGTTAAGGTTTTTTAGAGTGCTGAATATTTTACTTAGTATATATATACCCAAAATACCGATCATCAGAACCATTTTTGAGAAACATACCCACCTTCAGTAAGCATTAGTGTTCCGCAAAATCAGGATTCGGCGGGTTTTTTTAAAGATCCGGACCCGAACCGAAATACAAAAGTCGGGTCCATGATTAGAT